TAGATCCCATCAAATACATCTTTGAAAAGCTATCATTATCAGAAAGAATCGCAAGATGGCAAGTGATGCTCTCAAAATATGACTTAGTGTATGTGAGCCAAAAAGCAATCAAAGGAAACATTACTACTGAATTTCGAGCAGATAGAGTTGCTGATGACTACGAACCTATGAAGTTGGATTTTTCAGATAAAGAATTAATGGCGATCTCAGGGTTAGAAGGAAATAATGGCGAGGAAGAGATATAGAGAATTATTTTGATGGGGGCCGCCAATACCATGGGGCATGAGATTGGAGTAGTTTTAATATCTCCAATAGAGCATTACTATCCTATTACAGCAAGATTAAACTTCAACTACACCAATAATGTAGCTGAATATGAGGCTTGTTTTACAGGACAGCATGCTGCTTTGGACAGGAGAATTGATGTGTTAAAGGTGTTCAGGGATTCAGCTCTCGTTATTTATCAGCTAAAAGGTGAATAGGAAACAAGGGATTCAAAACTCATCCCTTATCATAAATACATCTTAGAATTGTGCAAACAATTCAAGGTAATTCAATTTGAACACTTGTCTCTTGTAAAAAATCATATTACAGATGCCTTAACTATCTTGATGGTACAGATTGGTGATACTACTAAAATTCAACCTATCAAACTAGATATCAAGAACATGTCAATACATTATGCCAACCTAGAGAAGGAGGATGATGGCAACCCTTGGTATCATGGCATTATGCAATATTTAAAAAATCAACAGTACCCAGACCAAGCAACAGAAAGTGATAAGAAAACCTTGAAAAGGTTGGCAATGGGTTTTTTTTTAGATAAGAAAATTTTTACAAAAGAGGCAAAAACCAAATATTATTACATTGTGTAGATACCTCTAAAGATAAAAAGATTATTAAAGAAGTTCACAATGGTGTATGTAGAGTACATGTAAATAGGCATAAAATGGTAAGATAAGTTATGAGAGTTGGATATTACTGGTTGACAATGAAAAAAGATTGCATTAATTATGCTTGAAAATGTCATAAATACCATATTTATGCTGAAAAGATCCATGCTTCGGCAAGTGCTTTACATGTTTTGGCACCACCTTAGCCATTTTTTATGTGAGAGAATGGATGTTATTGGCTCTATCACTCTAAAGGCCTCAAATGAGAATAACTTAATTTTTATAATGACTGATTACTTCACTAAATGGGTGAAAGCCACATCCTTCACAACTATCACTAGATCAGTGGTCTGTAAATTCATCAAAAGAGAGATAATTTATATATATAGGCTCTCAGAAAGAATCATCTTGAACAATGCAAAGAATTTGAATAGCAAAATGATGCAAGAAGTATGTGTTCAACTCAAGATCAAACACTATAATTCAATTCCATATCAACCAAAAATGAATAGGGCAGTGGAAACTGCAAACAAGAACATTAAGAGGATTCTGGAAAAAATGATGAAGCATACAAAGATTGGTATGAGAAGTTGCTTTTTGTGTTACATGCATATCGAACCTCCATGTGTACTTCTATTAGGGCAACTCTTTTTTCCTTGGTTTATGGGATGGAAACTATATTGCCAATAAAAATAAAGATCCCATCCCTAGGAATTATAAAGGAAGTGGGATTAGAAGAAGCTGAATAGGTCCAAGAGCGATATGAACAATTGAACTTCATTAAAGAAAAAAATTAGCGGCACTCTATCATGGCTAATTATACCAAAAGAGAATGATAAAAGCTCATGACAAGAAGGTAAAACCTCGTCAATTTTGAGAATGAGAGTTGGTATTGAAAAAAATCTTTCAAGTCAACATGATGATATGAGAAAAAGACTTCAAATTGGAAATGACCATATGTGGTAAAGAGAGCTTTTTCAGAAGAAACATTAATCTTGTCAGAAATGGATGAAGATGAACTTCCTAATCCTGTGAATTGTGATGCTGTGAAGAAGTACTTTGCTTGACCCTAAAAAAAAGTTTAAGTTGAAAAGCCAAAAAAACGTTTTGAACCCAAAAACTAAATAAAAAAATAAAAAAGTTCAAGTTAAAAACCCTAAAAGGCTGCTTGGATACAAAGAAAAAGGTTCGAGTTGAAAACCTTGAAAGGCAGCTTAAATAGAATGAATAAAATACGCATCACTTGGAAGGCATACCAAAGATAGTGAATTTCAAAGAGCTTGAAGGTGTCGGGGCATTATATTTTGGTTGAGTTTTTTAAGGAAATCCAAGATTTGTTGTCATGGTTACTTGATCATTTGTCTTGGGGCATTGCTACTCCAAACAATCGCTTTTATACACTCTCTTGTTGTTTCTATACCATCATTTATAGTTTATTGCTTGTCCGAATAAATCCTATTGTTTCATACATTGCTAATATATATATTTGTCCCTTATTTTGCCATGAACGAAAGAAGTGCATAACTTGCATCCCACACTTTGAAATTGAGATAATGATTAATAATTAAATGAAGTCATAAGAAGTTATGTTAATTTAAAGGATTAGAGGAGACAAGGGCTAAAGTTGAATTCCTCCAAATAAGAAAAGTGGCCTCTATAGTTTTTCTTGGCATAAAGATAAATATTTAGGCTAATGAAGGATTGTTTCTTTGCCAAATGTGCACAGAGATGAGAATGCAGAAGCCTTAGTATCATAATTAATATTTCATTTGCATCCTAGATAGGGCATGCACTTACATTATTCATTTATCCGATCTTGGCTCAATCCAGATCATTTTATATGATTCCTGATTTCATCCCAGTCATTTTCAACCTTGACTCGGTCTAGGTCACTTTTATTTTGACTCGTGTTTTTATTCTGATCATTTTATCTTGGCTTAGTCTCGATCATTTCATATGATTCATGGTTTCGTCTCAATCATTTTTTATCTTGACTCGATCTAGGTCACTTTATTTTGACTTGTGATTTCATCCCGGTCATTTGATTTTGGCTCAGTCTAGATCATTTCATATGATTCGTGGTTTCGTTCCGGTAATTTATTTTTGACCTTAACTCGATCTTGGTTGCTTTATTTTAGCTCATGGTTTCATATCGTTACTTGATCTTGGCTCAGTCCAGATCACTTTTTGACTTGTGATTTCATCTCGGTCACTCATCTTCAACCTTGGCTTGGTTTTGGTTGCTTCATATTTTAACTTGTGGTTTCGTCTCGATCACCTGATCTCGGTTTGGCTTAGATCTTTTTTATAGATTCATGGATCATTCCTGATTCGACATGAGCAGAGTAGGTGTTAAGTCTTTGCATCATTTTTGTTTAACAGTGATGTGCAAAGAGGGGCAGCTGTAGACATCTATTTGTGTCCGAGCCTAATCAAAACCAATTTCCTTTGTATATATTATTGTAGTATAATAGTTTATTATTATTTATCATGTCATATAGTATAATATATTATATCATATTAATACTATGGTATCTTTTATTATTCTCATATTACATTATTATTATTATTATTATTATTTACAATTTTTTCTTTTCTTTCTTTTTGTCCGAATCTGCTAAGGGATAGGGAAATATGAATTTAACAAAATCAAAGATTTTTAATGCAAAGTCAATTGGCCTAATCAAAGGCCTAAATTACGCTCAGATAGAATCAATCTTAAGATTCAAGCCTGGATTGATTTTGTCTATTTCCTAAAAATCCTCTTAAGACTACTTATATATTGGGTGAGAAATCATAGAGCATGACACACAAAAATTTTAAGGGAAAAAAGTTTGAAAAAATTTTGGCAATAAGGGTTTTTAGAATTTTGAAGTTAGGATTTAGGGTTTAATTCGTAGTTTTGGGTGTAATTCTAGGTTTCTAGAGGTAGAGTTAAGGTTGTAGAAGGTTTCAAAAAAGATTTAGAGCTTTTTTTAGGATTTTTTGGAATTTTCTAGGATTTTTTAGGATTTTTTTTTGGTTTTTTTGGGTTTAAATGAGTTTTTTGATAAATGTTTGAATTTTTTGGTGATTTTTCCCGCAAAGGTTTGAAGTTTTCGACGAAATTTCAATGAGATTTTCAGAATCCAGCACAATTTTTAAAAACTGGTGGGTTTTCCAATTTTCGATTGAATTTTTCGATGAAATTTCCAGAAACCAATGGGATTTTCAGTTTTCAATTGAACTTTCCAACAATGTTCTTAGGTATTTTAAAGAAAAGGCGAAAGGTTTTTTTTTTTTTGCTAGAAAGAGAGACTCTGGAATTTCTAAGGAAAAACGCTAGAATATGCCTTTTATACTAGCCTAGAGCGATGTCGTTTTGAACAACCCAAGATCTACGTGTTGACCCAATAACCAGTATGTAGACCTACACTCTAACCCGACCTGATCGTAGATTTTTTTTTTCATTTTTTTTTATTTTTTTATTTAATTTAATTTATTTTTAACCTATTTTATTTTATTATTTTATTTTAGTTTTATTTTTTAAAAAAAATTTATTTTTGCCATTTTTATTTCTTGAAAGTAAAAAAAAAAATGATTCAATAAAAAAAATCTTTTCAAATAAAAATATAAAAAACATCTTTTCAAATAAAAAGTTTTCAAAAATATTTATAAAATTCTTTTAAGTAAAAAAAAAAAAAGTAAAAAAAAAAAATCTTTTTTCAACAAAATCCTTACAAAATAAATTCATGAATTCCACTTAAATTATTGGTGAGTTATCATGGGTTTAAGTTTTTTGTAAAATCCACCAAACCATTGAAAAATTTCATAAATTAATTTTCAAAAATTTTAAAAATAAAATTTTTATCTTCTAAACTATTAAATGATTGCTTCAAATTAAGTCTTACCAAATTATTGAAAGATTTTATTGAATAAAATACTTTAATAAATCCGACGATAAAACCTCTTCAAAATAAAACATTAATCTCTATGAATACTTTTGAGGTGAGAGAATTATCTTAAATTGTTACCAAACTATTGAAACAATTTTAAGATTAATTTTTAATATTAATTTATTTGATAAATAATAAAAATGATCAAGACTTAGATAATTTAAAATCGAACTAATACCATCATTTGGATAAACACTATAAAAATGCTACAACTTTCTCCATACATAACCGACTTTCAAACCTAACATTTGTTTTCACATATCAAAATATGTTCTAAGTGATCAATTACACCTAAACAGAAACGATTAATGACAACTTCTCTTACACCTATCTAGCTATAAGTCCGACTTCTCCTACACATATCTAGCTATAAATCCGACTTCTCCTACACATATCTAGCTATAAGTCCTGTGATGACAATATCTTTACCTTGTAGCTAAATCCTCGCCCCAAAAGTCACAGATTGCTCAAATACCCATCAAACAATACCACTCATGTCCAGTACCCGATGAAAGTAAGAATTTGAACAGAGCACCATGCATCCATGTCATAAAGTCCCCTGCCATCTAATCATTTGCCAAGTTGGTTTCTTTATCTAACAAGAACAACAAAAAAAATATTTAACAAGTTATGCCAAAAAAAAGTTCATCAAATGATTGTGGACAAAACAGTTCCTAAATATAACTACTATAGTAGTTACCACAGCCATGTCTTACGAAAGAACATCTCAGAAACAATAACTGAATTTTTCACATATCCAGTTGGACTACAACACCAAGAAAGTATCCTAACAAAGTTCAGTTCAAACACCAGCCTCCAGAATCAAAATACATGCAACAATACAGCACATAGAAACAAAACTAAATAGATGGCAGCATAATATCACTTATTGCGAGACCTTCTCCACTTAGTTTCCTCTTGTACTCCTTTGGGTTGGACTTCCAATTTGTCTTGGGCTGTGGCTCCCGCTTTGGCTCAGACTTTGAATTCTGCTTCATCTTGGGCTCCGGCTTCTACTCTGGCTCTGGCCTTGCTCCCTATCTAGACTCCGACTCCGACTCCGACTCCGGCTCCTTGAGCCATTGTATTGTGGAGAACGTGAATACCTATCTCGACTGTTCTGTCCATCTTGGGGTGAAACAGATCTGCTTCATAACCAACAGCATAAAATTATGTTAAAGTTCACATATAAGGATAAACCTATAGAGAAAGAGACAAATCACATAAGATAATTCAATTCAAGAGGAAGAAACACATCTAGCACCTTGAGTAATGCCTCTCCTTAGGAGGGGAATAATCACGACTTCGTGACCTAGATCTCCCATGGCGAAGTGGAGACCGAGAATATCGTGGTGAACGAGAGTAACGAGGGGGAGACCTTCTCCTATCACGATATCGACTTCCTCTGAATCAAAGAGAATGTTGAAAGTTGAGAGAGGGTGAACATCGAAGTTTCCTAGGAAACATGTTTAGCAGCACAATATTTGGACAGATGAAAAATTAAGAATTGTGAGCCTACTAAACTACCCCTTATGTAACCCCCTGTTAAGATAGATACCAGCAGATAAACTAGATATCTCTAAAACAAATCATTTCTTTGTTTTATGGGACTTATGAATATGTTTAGCACCACAACTTTTAATCGAACATACAAAATTAAGAATTCTGAACCTACTAGACAAGCCTTATGCAGCCTCCTATTCGTTCAATGAGGGTGCCTAATGTGGTGGAGATTCATTCTCCCCACACTGCATCCCCAGTTGGTGCCAAAATGCCACTAGCACTTCACCAGTGCTCCAGTGCAGGGCGAATGGAATCCCCACTGCACCCTTTGTCCTTTGCCAAAGCACATGATGGATATCAGCATAACCTCCCAATAACATGCAGATAGATTAGATACATCTAGAAAGAATACTTTCAAAATACCACAGCATTTGAATAGGTATATTTTACGATCCATTATCTCCTCCAAGGAAGGCTAAGAATTTATGTAAATTCATAATAATACTACATTTCCTTTAACTATTAGAACAGATGAAACAAAGTATCTGCTCAATCAGTTGCGAGGCAAGGACTAGAAATGTTCAAATGGAAGCAAATTCAGAACTATTAAGTATGCAACTATTTATTTGGAAGCTAGAAGATGGAAGAGCTTCCCCTTATCAAAAATAATGAAAGCCAAATGTGTTCCCAAACTTTCTGAAAACATAAACTATAGCTCAATAAATGTACGGGGAAAGCTTACCTCACTCGCTCTCTGTGTCTCATATCCGCTGGTTTCTTCCTGTTTTCTTCAGCAAAGACAACAGTCAACTCTCGACCAAGAAGAACCTGGCCATCCATCTGGTATTTTGCTTCTGCTGCATCAGCAGGATCAACATATTGGACAAAACCAAACCCACGAGGTTCCCTGAAGAATTACACAAAAGTCATTGCAAGGCTACAACGGTGAATAAAACCGGCACCGAGCAGACCAATAACCCTTTTCCAATGATATTTCCAGAATAATACCTAGTAATACGGAAGGTCATCATAAGTATGAAGAAGCAAGCACTAGCCTGCTAACCTTGCAAGTGTCAGTTTAAAGATCACTTGAAGTTCTTCAAGACTTGGAACATCTCCACAATGTATTCAAACCCAACTTCCTTCCAATCTTCACTACCACTAAACATCATCTTCCAAAGAACTCTAATTACTTGATTGATGTCTTCAAAACTTTAATTTCACTGTTAAACCTCAAGAACTTCAATTAACATACCCAATTTGTGATTACAAAAGAATATACTTTTAATGGAATGCCCCAAAATCAGAATAGATATTCAGAGGATGGAGCATTAGCAGGACCAGCTTGGTAAAAGCATAGAGAGAAAAAAAAAAAGGGTTTTTAGACTTTGATTGGACCTCCTAAAATTAGAGATAATGGTTTTGAAGAATCATAAATTTCTCAATAGACATAGTCTTAATGAAATAAATCAAAGTTATGAATACAAATCAAAATTATCCATACCAAAAGAAATTGTCAAAATGGAGAATAAAAAGAAAGTCAAAACATTAGTTGAGTGGTTCCCAAAACGAATCAAATGTCACCAAACATGCCATAGACCACACAGAACCAATTGTAAGGTTAAAAGAATACATGTTTTGAGTAAAGTGAAGTGAGAAAAAAAAGATTAAATCAAATCAATTCCATTACCCAAACAACTATAATATTCCTATGGTAGCAAGTATATCCTCACCCAGTATAATAATCCTTCGGAAGATATATATCTTTAAGAGGGCCAAATCTTTCGAAGGGCCTGCGAAGGTCTTCGGGCCTGCAAAAGCAAAAGCACAAAACCATATGTGAATTCCTCTTGAGGAAAAAATAATTAATCATCTGTCGTCCCTCGTAGATTACCAGAGATAACAACAAGCATCTTAGTTGAAACTTAACAGAATAGATCCCAACGGAGCAGTTGACAATGGCAGACAAAAAAAAAATAATAGTAAAAAACATTACGATGCAGAAAGTAGAATGAAGCAGAAGAAACCTGCAGTCATGGCGGAGATTGCGAACCAAAAGGCTTGTAGGCAGATCGCCAGCACGACCACCGTAACGGCCTCTAGCGCTAGGGCTCCGTCCTCTCCGACCGTAGCCCCTTGGAGGAGATGGAGTATAACTTCTGCCTCTCATTTACACAAATCCCTAGCGTTCAAAGAGAGGAGAGAGGCCAAGGGCAAGAAAAACTGCGGTGTATAGGGTGCGATTGCGAAAAAGGCAAAGGGTTAGGGATATAGTGGGTGAAGGGTGGAACTCTGCTCTGGATTTTCATTTTATCTTATTGTCTGTTCACGCGCCACGCGACCTACGTATATTTTTAAAATACTTTATATTCCATGTTCCATATTATTTTAGATTCAAAAAAAAAAAAAAAAAAAAGGGGGGGGGGGGGGGAAGAAGGCCGAAATCGAAGAAACAAAAGAAAATAAGAAGGGTTCGATTCTTCGCTCTTTAATTCAATTCAATTGAAAAACAGATGTAGAAGGCCAAAATTGCAGAAACTGGACTTCACGTAAATTTGAGATTTTGTGTCTGGGTATTGCTTCTCTCTGTTCCATTTGCAGGCTTTCTTTTCTTTCGTTTCTTTTCTTTTAAAGATTAATTACACATTATTTGTAAGTTAAAAGTTGTGTCTGTTGGCTGTTTCTAATTGCAGGCTGAAGACTCCAATCAGATTAGCTTCACTTTTGTCTGATTGATTGGGTATTTCTGATTTTCTGCCTTTATATTTCTGATTTTTTTATAACTTTTAATTTTTGTATGCTCATTGTTCGTGTAAAATGTTTATGAGTTAACAGTTAAGTGGTTTTTTTTTTAATTTACCGAGTCGGTTTGAAGAATGCAGTGCTGCTGCTTTCATCATTGACAATCCCTAATGTTGTTTATGGAAAGCTTTTTCTTTTTGGTGATTTTAAGTTTGTGGTCTCATAATTAATTAATTAATTAAGAGGCTTATGGTGCTGAGTAGCACAAGTTCAATTCACGTATTTAACACTTCAAGGCCAGAGAATTATTCTAGTTTGGTTGTTTTAGGTTCTGTTTAATGTACTGTAAAGTCTGTAGGGAAACTACGCCTACACAAACACAAGATTTAAAGCCCTGTCTATGATTTTAGAAAAGAAGAAAAAAAAATTGGCATTATTAGGGCATAGGACTGTCTTGAGAGTCGGAGTCAGTTAGTGTTCCTTTATCTAAAAACACTCAATTGGATGACCTTATTTTATGGCAAAGCATGCAAATAGCCTATTTACAATTTTTGATGAATCATTTGGAGATTGGTAGAATCGTCTTTTGAAAAGAGAAGGTGCGTTGCCTTTAATTTTACTAGTTGTTGAAAATATTTTGTTCTAATTTAGAGTACTTTCACAATGATCTTGGTTTCAGCAAAAAAATTAAAAAAAAAAAAGAAAGGAAAGGTTCAAGCATCATCTGAAGGGACCTATTGATGAAAAACATTTTCATAACTTATTTTCTGGAGAAGAATGAACTGTGGAGAATAACAATACATCATGTATTTGCTTTATTTAAAAAAAAAAAAAAAAAGACTATAAGGGGATGCATATAGCTTTTATGATCTTCAATTTTGATTTTACAATATCAAAAATTGTTAATTAATCATCAGGTACTTATGCAAGAAATTTTCCCTTTGTCAGTTCTTGTGGCAGATTTTGTATTGTGAATCTTGGTTGGACTTACTTGAAGGACAATACTGCTTAAATATCAATGCAAACTAGAAAAGTTCTTGCAATCTATTGTAGAAATCCTCAAATTTTGGAGATAATTTAATTCACAGTTAATTAAAATCCCTTTAACAACCATTCTCAATTCCATACGGCTTGCATTTTACAAGCTTGATGAAATGCTTAGGTTTTTTAAGGGTTTGCCTAATTTCAGCGTTATACATTTGAGGAGTTATCTTTTTTCTTGGGTAATATCTGCGATATTTTTTTTCTTGGATATCTGCGAGGACCAGTCATGTGTCAGAATTTGATGTCATATCAATTGGGGCTTTCTCTGTGCCATTAAAATGTGTGATAATAAGCTTAGGTTATTAGTATCAAGGTTGATGGTTGTCTTTGGAGTAAGCTAGTCTTTCTTCTTTCCTATTTTTAATTTCATTTAGCAGGCATGGATGAGCAATTCATTCTTAGAGTTCCTCCTTCTCTTGCTGAACGCATAGATCGCCTTCTAAGTGAAAATGCTTCATCTTCTGAGGACAAATCACTTGATTTGGTATTTTCTGGTGAGGACTTGCACTTCATTATACAAATTCCTTATTAACTGCTGCTATTGTCTATGTGTTAACATTTTCTGTTCTTTCTGAACTTATACTCAGTTTTCTGTGAAACTTACAGCTAAGAAGCTCTTGGTTCCTTTAATTTAATTTAGCTAAATGTTTGTGTGGTTAGATAACCTGTATTTACACTGTACCGTAATCTCTATTTTGTCTTTCTCGTCGATTTATATATTAACCAAACCATAAATATTTAGGCTGCACCATAACCTCCATTTTGTCTTTCTTGTTGATTGGCATATTAACCAAACCATAAAATACCCAACTCTCTTTATTTACAGTCTTTTTTCTAGTGAAGTTTCTCTTTGTGGCCTAAAGAGTGTGGACTGCAATGCAACTTTATTACTTTTCCCTGGAGAACTAGAAAAATAATTGAGACATATTATATAGTTTCCAACTTAATCCACTTCACAGTTTGGGTTCTTCTGCCATATGTTTTTGCAATCTATGTTCTCTCCAAGGCTCCAGCATTGTTGAGTGATTTATAAATTTGACTGGAGGTTATTTAGCTTCTTGCTAATTGAAATCTTGGACAAATGGGTGGAACCTATAGGCGGACAAGAATGTTGCATCTTAGCGAATTCTATCATTTGCAACACCTTTACTTTGACTTGTTCAGTTGTAGTTGTCTACTAATGTAATGCAGGAGAGTTATTGACCTTCTTTTATCATATTGACCAGTAATTTGGAGATGAAGCATTTCTGAGTGAGAAAATCATTTAAAACAAAGAAATGAAGAAACAACAATGTTGGACAGTATTTATTATTTTAAGAAGCAGGCAATAGATACGAGATTTCTTGAATCTTAGTGTAATAGCCTCTTGAGCAGGCCCCAACAGTGTAATTATGTAGATTTACATGGAGAGTAGTACATGGGAGTTATTACCTTAAAAACAAATTTGTCTCATAAAATGTTTGCTCTAACAGGGTTGAATAATTTAATTCTTGTAATGGTGATTTGTTCGTTAAAACATTCATGGAGAAACTCTTTTTATAGTTTTGTGCTATTTAGAACTTATTAAGATATCTTGTGTGCAACCGTTGGTCTTATTGGAGCAACACTCTCTTGAATGATACCTGCAGTTTTTGTGCAGCATCAAATAATTATTTAATGCAATGTTGCTTGTGCTTGTTCTCCAACATAAAGTGATGATTGATTACAAAAAGTAAAATTAAGATTTTGCATTATTATTTGCATCGTAAATGTTGTTTTGCCCATTGTCTTGGGATATCTGTGAATGTTAAGCTCATCCTTAGCAGACGATGGACGGACTGGTACATTTGTCATTGGCAATGATTATTTCCCTGCATCTCTTTTGGATCTTCCTTGTGTTGTTGAGTCATACAAAACTTACGATGATAGTGCCCTAGTTAAGACAGCTGATGTTGGCCAGGTATGGTACTTGCTATTATTTTTTATTTTGATACGGTTATACAAGGTTGCTTCACTTCTAATGTGGTCATATTAACTGTTGTAATTGTTAAAGATGATTTTGGTCAGAGAGTCAGGAGAAGCTTCTCAAGATGTGGTGGAGTACAGGCATGGTCTGACCCCTCCGATGAGGGATGCACGGAAGCGAAGATTTCGTAGGGAGCCAGATTTAAATGTACCAATAAATTTGCTACTTCTCAAAATCTTTGTGTTTATGCATTCCAACTTCAAAAAATGATTACTTTCTCTGACTAAGTGGTGAAAGTAATCATTTTATAGACATATTTCATTTATTAGTTTTACTGATTCCAGTTATTTTTGCAGCCAGAGTTTGTACAACGTGTTGAAAAAGATTTAGTGAACATCATGTCTGGAGGAACTGTTGAAAATCTTGATATCCTTTATGCATCTAGCTTCAGTATTATTTCTTTAGTTATTATCTTTGAGCAACTGCTGCAGTTTTCTAGTCTTTGAATACCACAGATGGAATAAGATACCATGGCTGAAATCAAAACATATTATTCGGTCCTGTCATTATTGAAAATTAAACCACATTATCAAAACGTTTCCACGTTTAATGTGATGGAGCCATACTTCATTTTCTTCATGTGTGGCAGCCTCTGGATAGTGGGGAAGTAACACAGAGATTGAAGGGGGATTCTTATTTAACCATCTGTATTATTGATTGAATATTTTGTGCCATAATGACATTGTTGTTTGTATACCTTAATCATGGTTTACATGCTGAAGCCAATGGGCAGGGAGAAGCTGGTGATGAGAATGCTCGCAATGCAAATACGAAAGCTCCAGTTGCTGCTGCTGCAGCTGCTGCAAAGCCCGAGGTTTCAGGACCAGGAGGCAATGCTGGGGAGCCTGATGGAACTGACTCTGATGATTCTGATGATTCAATGTGAATTCAAGTTTCAAGCACGGCTTTTATAGTTATGTGATTTAGCTGAGGATTTCGATACCGTCAGTTTTTCAGATGTGCTTTTGAAGATGGTTCACAGCATCACAATTTATAGGGTTGGCTGAGAACCAGGCTCTACTATTATCAAACCCTATCTCTCCCCTCCTTGTAATCTTCCTCTTTTCTTTTTTTGTTTTTTGTTTAATTTTGTTATCCACCCTTTCAACTCTGCTTGTGGTTTGAAAAATTGGGGTGAATTTTGGATTAATACTAAAAAATAAAAAGCCATAAAACACAGTAGTAAAGAAATTGCAACAACAGTGTAAATTCCATCTTTGCAAAACTATCTGAATTGGGTTTGAATTTGGAAAAGGCTTGTTTGGACTTTGGAGCGTGTATTAGTCCATTCTCCATATCAAAACTTAACAAATTTCTAACCAAAACTTTTCAGTTTAGGCTGGATTAGCTAGTTCTAGCATGTTATTTGAATAGTATTAACCAAAAAAAAAAAGGAAAAAAGAAAGAAAATGTATAGACACAGAGCAAAGGCAGCTAATAATCTGAGAGGAATGGTGGAAAATGATGGAAGTTGTGAGGAAGGTGAGTATAAATTCCGTGTGCGTATCATATGTAGGATGGAATTATTGGTATTAGAAATAAATAGCTGATCGGATTTTCCATTGAATCACAATGGGGATGCAACCGACGTCAACTTGTCACTGCTTTTCTAATACTAATTACTAAACTCGGCCATAACAACTTTCCGTAGGGGCTTATAATAGGAAAGATTGTTTGTTGTGATTTTTTCTCTTTTGGAATATAGTCTATTTCATAAACGAAATTTAATTTAGAAGAAAGATTTCTTAAATATAGGAGAAGGGTGAGAGGATAAATTAAAAGAAAATTTAAAAATGAAAGATTGAGAGCTACTAGTATTTGACAAATCTATGAGAATGAAAATTTTTTTCGGCTTTTTCTATCCAACTCAGTGTTAGTAATAAAACAAAAAATAGAGATATCTCCAAATCTTCTAAGTATCTTGAATTAGTATTTGAACAGAAGATGTGAGGTTTTTTTATCAAAGGATTTGGTTACAATGAGTCTTGATAATTTATGGGAGTTTTTCAATTAAAATATTGAGAAATTCATCTGGTAGGTCAAATTCATCATTAAAACGAGGTTTTGTTCAAAGAGGAATAAAATATATTTTTTTTAAGGATAAGGCTTGAGAAGAAGAAAATGTTTTAAGTTTTATTTTTAAAAAAGGTCCCAACATTTTACTCTTGGATTTCTAACATTGAAGACAAAATGAAAATAGAAATACATGGTATTAGTTTAATTGCATAACAAACTCTGAATGGCAGCCATTGATGGATAGGCATACATAGTTTACTCTTGATGCGTTTTTGAAGACCTAAATCTTGTGTGATTTAGCAGATTAGTCTGCTTTCTTAAGTTTAAAAAAAATGCTTCTGATTAATTTTGTCCAATTGTTCCTTTTGTCATCGAAATTAAATGAGTCACGATGACAAGCTACCTGTATATACAGTTGTATACCTTTCTAAACCACATTTGAATAATTTGGAGGTTCTAAACTACCATTTCATACCTATCTCTTATTGATAATTTAGAATGTGATGCATCTCATAGTAGATAAAAAATTTTAATTATTGATGAATAATATTAATTTTTATATTAATTTTATTCATATTTTAAATAATTATATTTGAACATAAATAATTATTATATGATAAATAATCATAACTATTTGAATATAAATAGATTATTATTCATAAAAATCATGATTATACAAAAAATCATAATCATTTGAATAGAAGTTTAAATCTGTTTATTCATTATAAATAGATCTTTTAGTATAACCATTTTCGCTACTTCTACTTAGAGAGTTTTGAGGTTTTGTTGTATCTTGGAAGCATAATTTCCTTTATGAAAGTATTTTTCATGCCCCAAAATTCTTTTCAATTATTTCTATTCTCTTATTTGTTTTTTTCTAATAATTTAAAGGCAATTATGAAAAATTTTTATATTTCATATTTATCAAGATGCAAGAGAAAAAAATTTAAAAATACATTGGTAAGATCCAAATTCTTGAAATAATTATGGACAAAGAAAAATAATTCTTTGCAGTGATTGAAAATAAGTTTTTCTTTAATTTTTATTCAAAATTAGTATGCCATTAATTTATTATTTAATTATGTTGCATAAATCTAATTTCATGATTGTTTTCATATTACTCAGGCTTTTGGAATTTATTAATTGTATATTCCAAAAGTTTCACTAGAATGGATTTTTCAAAATAGTGGCTAGTAGTAGTATGAAATTAATAGGGTGAATGTATTGGCATGATTTATTTGTGAAATTTTATATTACTAATTCAAACCAAAAGTTTGGCCAACAAATTGGGTTAGATGTAATATTCTAGTTTAAATGGAAAAGGCACATCATTAATAACATTAAAGGCTATTGCTAATTACCAATAATTTAAAGGCATTCCACTAATGTTTTATTAATTATGTTTATGGATTTGAAAAGTTTTATTTTGGAATGCCAAGAAAAAGATAACATGGTTTTCAATTAAAATAATTTAAATAAACATTGTAAGAAAATGAAAGATTAGTGGTAGTTTTGTAGCGGCATTTCACTTATAAATGCCACTAGCTTTTATGTTTTTATAAAATTTAAGGCGTTTTTTTATCAAAATGCTACTAAATATTCAAATAGTGACGTTTGTACTTATAAATGTCACTAAAGATAAAAATTTACGGCATTTATCGACTAAAACACCTTGAATAATCCTCTATAAAAAATTGGAGTAATTATGGAAGGCATTTTTGACCAAAAAATACCTTGAATAATCCCCTCATAAAAATAGATAGGAGATCATTAAAGGCATTTTTGGCAAACAATACCTTAAATAATCCCTTAATATAAAATGTAGGTGATTATTAAAGGCGTTTTCTACCAGAAATACCTTTAATAATTTTTTAAAAAAATTAAAGAGGATTATTGAAGGTATTTTTGGTCAAAAATGCCTTCAATAAATATCCTATCAAATTTTAAAGGGGGTGGCCTAAAATTACCTCTTAAATAAAAATGGAGCAACTCTGTCGGTTAGATCATACAATTGTTAACCATAAAGTTGTAGGTTTGATCTATCCTTTTAGCATTTTTTGGGTTTTTGAATGGATTATTTGTAAAGGATTATTCACTGCATTTTCTGGCCAAAAATGCCTTAAATTATCCATTAAAAAAATTTTGGAGAGAAAATAATGAAAGTGTTTTCGGTAAAAAAGGCATTTAATAATCCATAAAAAATTTTGGAGCATTATTCTTAAAGGCATTTTGGCTGAAAATGCCTTCAATAATCCACTCAATAAATTTTTATGAGGGATTATTAAAGGTGATTTTGGTCAAAAACACCTCTAATAATCTATACAAAAAAATTTGAATGGGATTATTGAAGGCATTTTTAGCCAAAAACGCCTTCAATAACCCCATTCAACATTTTATTAGGGATTATTCAAGGCGTTTTCTGGCTAAAAACGCCTTCAGTAATCCCATAAAAAAATTTGGTTTAATTATATATGTGAAGTCAGTTGTAGTTTTATGCACAGAAAATATTTGAAATTAGTTATAGGTTTATGCCTAGAAAACATTTGGTTTATATATATGATACTATGAATTACATTTTGGAATTTACATTACAAATATTGTAGTATTTCAATAAATTAACCACACATCTGAATTTAAAATTGATAACGTTGTCATATAAATATACTTTTATCAAATAATCATACTCAATATATGTGTATTCATATCAAACAAATATATACTAATAATATTAAACCAATACCCCAATCTAGAAACTTAAATTATCCATTCAACATGGCATGTTAAATACATTATAACAAATGAAATGCATATACTTACACCCAACCAACAATCTCTAATCTCAAGGTTTAGCAAATAATAATACATACTCACACCACTTTTTACGAACTTCATCAAGTTCGTCTGTCGTGAAGCTTTGTTTACTCACCCACTAAAAAAAATAGAAGTAAATGTTAATAAACAAAAACATAATTTAGCTTTTTCTTTTAAGATATAACGAGTTTATGAAATTAATACTAATTTTGAATGGTGTGGTCATAAAATCATATAATACTATCTCCCTCATAAAATGAAGGATATAATATCTACATGCAGTATATCATGGTTAACGAGGTACCTAAAAATAAATTTAGTGGGTTCAGGAAATATGTATCTAAACAAACTCAGCATAAAAGAATAAATTTCATATTTACCAGTAATGACACCTAATCTATTTTTGCTTTCTTACCAACTACAGACAATACCCTAAATTGAAAAAAAAAATTACTTAATACAAAAATAAAAGTAATTATGAAGAAATAAAAAATAATATAATAACATGTAATACCTCTTTATAAAATTTTTAATATCGGGGTTAAGCATTGCCGTTGGTTGAGTCGAATTAAATAAGTATGGTGTTAAAGAATTGCCATCAATCACAATAAGCTACCAATAATGATTGCAAAATAATAAAACAGATTAGGTATCATCTTAGATTCGGTTAAGGTTAGAATAATTATTTATATGAATATAACTTATGCAGTATTATACAGAAGCAAATAATAATTAGCCCATTTTTTCATGTATTCAATCACATGATGAGCATGAAAAACTACTATGCCACTCTGCTCACTAATGATATTGGGTTCAATAAATCTGAATCGATGGGTCATTTCTCTCACCTTGACCTTCTATATAGGAAACTACACGATAACAATCAACAATACTAATTAGTAATACAACACAATATAGATTAAAAACTATTGACTTTGTATATTTAAATTTATAAGCTAACCTCATATAAGCAATAATATCAGTAGTTGATATTTCATCTAGGTTAAAAAATTCCTAAAACTCATCCTCACCAATCTAAAAAAATGATGGTTGATTAAATAACCTATCTTTGGACTCAACTATAATGCAATTTCCTCTAGATAAATGATCAACTGAATAATTAGATAACTCATCAATGCTAGCCCAAGCATGTGTCATACTTTGAGTCCCAACATCCTACTACAATCTATAATAAAATATAAATATTAATACCAAATCAATAAATATAAAAAAGAAATAAATATTAAGTGAATAAACAAAATCATACTTCATGGCTGGTACCGAGGTTGGGTTTATTGCTTAACTTGCAGCAGATGCTTGTCTTATATGGATGATGCTATCCAACTAGCCTATAGGCATCCTAGGCTGCATTGTTGCTAACATTGCCTCTAAAGCCACAAGTCGTTGTTATTAGTCATTCAGGCGTTGCTCTTGCTCATCAAGTCTTTGTTGTTGTTGCTCAATTATTGCTTTATATTGTGCATTCATCATTTGAGGCATTTTTTATTGATTACTTAAAAACTTTCATGGCAACACAAATTGACCAACCCTTCGAACTCGACCATGTCTCTCTTTCGCACCTAATGCTAAA